ACATATATATATATATATATGTCCCCATGACCGTACATCACACACGAAGATATCAGCCTTACCGCACTGGATTTGCAGGGTCTGGCTTGATTCAGAAAGTCGCATGTAAATTCCTTTATCCTGCTTGTCGGTTTGAACCCTTATCACTAAGATACAGTAGTATGCCAAGCATGGTAGCCTAAATCGGCTGTCTGAATATTTGGTAGGCATATACAGCGCTCCTTGGGGCAGTTTATTGTCATCTACAACAAAATTCTATTCAGTAATTCAAGCCACAATATACAACATGGTTGACTTTGGTAGCTAGGGATCCTTATAGTGCAGTATCTCGACATATAAACACCGGATTTGTATATAGGGATCTTGGAAAGAACGACCTGCATGTTGTAGAGAGTGGCCTGAAATGGGGGAGGCCTTCCCAACACAATTTCCAAATCATCGGATCCTTCTTGCACAGACCCTGCTCCAGTTAGCTGGGGATCGGGGTTTAGGTGCTAAAAATAAATCTACATTTTGCTTTAGTTGTAGGGCTTAGGAAAGTAATGCCGTGCGATGTCACAAGTCACATATTTACAGAACCCTAAACCCTAAACCCTAAATTTTTAAACCCTAAACCCTAAACCCTAAACCCTAAACCCTAAATCCAGCAGCCACAGACCTTCAACTGGACGATCAACAACGTTACTGAAGCCTGCCCTGCCTGTCAGCCGCTCCCTGTGGTATACACGGCGATGCACGGTGTGGGTCACTTGCCTGAAGTTGCACCACCAGACCGCCACATAAGCAGATTCACCCTAAACCATGAACCCCTAAACCTCTAACCTCGACGATTTCGATTTGCCTTTACCATACCCTTAACTTAGGAGTACTTAGAAATAGTTTTTTATTCTTTGGTTACTCTAAACCCTAAGAAGCAGCTAAAATTGTAATTGTTGCTAGCGGTCTAAGTTCAGTATAGTATTAACCTTACACGCCAAGACCCTAAATCCTAACCCTACGCTAGTGCCTAAACCCTAAACCACTCCCCTTTAATCTAACCTTAGTCGCGAAACAGTAAACCCCAAACCCATGTAAAGCTTTCTTCCTACCCTAAACCCCACCTCTGTATCCTTTGAGTCCAATAAATGTCCGTACGTTTTCTGATTATAATCATGAATTCCTTGTACCAAAAAGAGATCGTCACCGTCATAGAAGCCTCAAAGAAAGCCAATTCCAAGCAGTAAGGCCCTTGATAACCCTTGTAAACGCCAACCTTCTGACTAAATGCCTAAACCCTAAATCCTAAACCCCAAATCCACGCAGATCCCTCCTAGTTTTAGGTCATTGAAAGGAAGGAACCCTTCAAGGAACCCTTACAGGAACCCTTAAAC